GGACTACACGGGAGGCTCGGCTTCGATGCCCAGTCCAGCCTGAAGGCCAGGCACATCCTTAGGCAGTGGAGCACACCTGTGGTCCGGGGGGAGGAGAGGCAGGGTCAGGAGGACTGCCACACATCTTAAAGCTCAGCTAGCCCCAAGGCCTAGTGGTTAAGGGAGCCAGCCAGATGCCACACGGCTGGCCATGGTCCGGATCCTGGACCCAGGTGTTTGAAGAACATTCCAAGCACTTAGGCATATGTGCCCCAAACCTGCAGGCCACAGACATGGAGAAGGGCCGGCAGCACGACCCCACCCCATGGGGGATGCGTCCCCTCCCTGTCTCTTTGCTGCTGTCTCTCTCTGGCAGTTAAGCACCTCAATGCTCGCAGTAAACATGCCCACGACCAGCGAGCACACAGCTACGTTCTAACTTCCAGTAAGGGCGAAATGACAATACCAAGTCCTTGGGCCGCTTAAGCACGCTGTGATGAGCAGCTCAAGGGATGCCAGAGTCCACACGGAGACCGAGGCTCGGACCCTCAGCCTGGCCAGACTGACACGTGCCTGGCCCGCACACAAGCGTCCAGGATATGCTGGCTGGAGGGCTGGAGGGGAGAGACCCTGCTGTGACCAGGCCCACGGTGGGTGTCGGCCCCTCTCCTGTGCATGTGTGCGCCCCGTCACGGGGAGACACGTTTAGATGGTCAGTTCTGTGGGAGAAGCCGTGCCGTGGCCTTCATCCGTAAGCGCGTTCTAAGCTGCGAGATCACACCGTAAAGCACCGGGCCCCAGGCTGAGGCATGGCCACGAGGCACATGCCCTGAGCAGGCCGTGGCCTCCCAAGTGAGCCAGCACGTCACTGGTGGGCACTTATTTTTTTTTTTTTTGACAGATTTTTGCTATAGAATATGTGCGCTTGCTGGAGAGAAAGAGACAGACAGAAAGTGAGAACTCACCCCTCCCCAGCCCCCGAGGAGTGGCCACGCTGTAATCCCTTTCCTTCCGCTTTCTCCTTGGGAGTCTGGGCACACGTGCATGCGAGCCCCACACAAGTTTCAAGCCACCAGATCTGGGACTCAAACTGCAGTCAGCCACGTGGGAGTCCAGCATCTTAACCACTACGCCACCTACTGGCCCCAGGCAGCTGGCACTCACTCACTCACTCATTCATTTAGAGATTTTTGCTACAGGACTCGTGCACCCGCCGAAAGTGAGAAATCACCCCACGGGGCATAGCCATGCTGCAATCTCTTTTCCATTCTCCTCTCGAGGTTTTGGGCACGCACACACACATACCTGGCATGAGTTTTAGGCCACTGGGTCCAGGACTTGAACCACGATTAACTATGTGGAAGTCCAGCAGAGCAACCCGTACAGTATCTGCTGGTTCCAGCAGCTGGCTTCTAAAATGCAGGTGATGGGACCAGCACTCCCATGTAGTCGACTGCAGTGCAAGTCCCGGACCCAGTGGCTTAAACTCACGCCGGGCACATGTGCATGCATGCCCAAGATCCCAGGAGGAGAATGGAGAAGGGATTGCAGCACGGCCATCCCCCTGGGGGATGATTTCTCACTTTCTGTCTATCTCTCTGTCTCTCTCTGTCCTTCTGGCAAGCACACAGGCACTATAGCAACAACATGAATGAATGAATGAATAAATTAATTAATTGCACGTGGCAAGGTAGTTAAGGCATTGGATTCCCACAAGGCCAACCTCTGTTCAAGTCCTGGGTCCGAAGACGAAAAACACACTGGCGCATGTGAAGGGACTGCAGCGTGGCCACCCCCCAGGGGTGATTTCTCTCCTTCACTCTCTGTCTCTCTTGGGTGGGAGAGCACATGAGCCCTATGGCAAAAACCTAAAAAACAAACGAAGAGCCCACACCTGCTCCTGGGGCTCTCGTGAGATGCTGGCGGTTGGCAGGGGCTCAGGCAACAGCTTTCTCCACGTCGGCCTCTGCAGAAACTGCAGTGAACCCAAGTGTGCCGACAGCTCACACTGCCCGACCGTGGCCTGGCTGACCGGCCTTCCTCCTTCCCTGGGAGCTGGCAGGAGGGGTGCTGTCTGCGTGCCCAGGAGCCCTGGAGAGCCGAGAGCCCGGCCTCGGGGGAGGGAGGCTGGAGCTGCTCTTGGCAAGCAATTTCAACAGGAAGAGGGGCTGGGCCGGTGGGGCTCCAGACGGCCTGACCAGCTGTCCGTCTTCATGTCCCCATGACCCTTCCGGCCTCGAGTCTTTCCCGAGAACAAGCAGTTCACAGCCAGCGCCCGGGAGAGCCCAGGACCCCCGAGCCCACTGGAGGTGCACAGGCCCACCCCAGGTATCTCGCGTCTCCTGGCAAGGATGTCAGATCAGACGTCCCCGGAGCACTCTGCCCAAGGGAGCCCCAGCTGTGACAACCCGAAGGCCCTACTTCCCAAAGCTGGGGAATCAAGTTTCGAGACGAGAGCCGCTTTCAGAAGTTTTAATTGCCCACGCAGTTTCGGGGCCCACACCCAGCGATGCCCCCGTCACTCGGATAATCGGTTCAGTGGTTCCAACACACGCAACCACACGTGTGCACGTGCATGCGCCGGCTGTGGGACACGGGATGTGTGCGCGTGTGCGTGTGGGGACACGTGGCAGACTGTCCTGGATCTGGCCAGCTCTGTCGGGACCCAGGGGTGGAGACCGCAGGGAGGAGACTTGTCACCTGGCAGACGGGAGGCTGGGGGGACACACAGCAGTGAGCAGGGCCCGCCTGACCCCCCGCACGCGGCAGACGGGACCACTCCCGCGTGAGCACTCAGGCCAGAGGGCAGGGCAGAGTGCCCCGGGGCGGGCGGGCAGTCTGGGGAGCCGCTCCCCTGGAGTTGTGGGCAGGGTCCGTGGTACCACAAAGCCTGCGTGACAACCAGACACGGGGCCGGAGGCTCTGGGCGTCCCTGCCCGCTGGCTGTGGCGGCTGGTCCCCTCCAGATAGGACCCAACCAGGGAGTGACACACAGCTCGCTCTAGAGCCACACACTGACGCCGTTTTAACTTACATATTTTAAGTCATCTCTATGTTGTCAAAGACTGAACTAAAACTACGGGATCTGACGACATTCTGCGTGCCGTCCGATGCCTGAGAACCTTCTCTCCCCGTCTTACCCTAATTCAGGAAGTGACTCCGGCTTCATGACAGTCTCCGTGGGATCATTTCAAGGCCGGTCTCCTCCCTCTCCTTGCTTTGAGTTTAAGACACTCCCAGAACCCTCTGCCAGGGCATCGGTGGCGAGCTCGGCTCTGCCATCTCCTCTGCTCACAGCTTGGTGACCCCGACAGCCCCGTCGGCCCCCACGAGAGGGAGGAGGAAGGGCTTTCTTTTACCCCTTGGAGAAAGCGATGATGGCAGGGGGGCGTTAGACGAGCCCACAGCATGAAAGGGTTGGCGGTCAGCGGTCCATCGGCACCGATCCCCGGTCAGGGATGGTGCGGTCGCAAACATGGCCACTATGGAGGCTGGTCTCTGCCGTGACAAAGCTTGGAGTGGCCGCAGGGCCCAGCCTCCGGGCCTCAGCAGAT